CCTGCCTCTGCCTCCTGAGTGCTGGGATTAAAGGCGTGAGCTACCACGCCCAGTTGTATTTATTTATGTCAAACCAGCAAATAGAAAATGTACATACATATCAACCATGTACAATAGATGAAACAGGCTCGGGGAGTCTATTTTACAGAAGCATGACCATTATTCAGTACAATGTATTATCTACTTGAAAATTGCTAAGGCAATAGATTTTAAGTGTTTGTACCACAAGTAAATGATAAGCCTGGGAGGGAATGTTAATTAGCTTTGTTTAGCCATTCCACAACAACATGCACCTCTATCAAAGCATTATGTAGTGGGCTTCTTTCTAACATAAGCCTTGCCGGTCTGTTTTTTCCAATAGGGAACTGATGGCGCTCGGAGATCTGCTATCCTTGACAGTGACGAGCTCTTGGTGTGCTACTATGATGACGTCAGGACGTTATATGAAGGTTTTCAGAGGGGCATTCATGTGTCAAGTAAGCCTATCACCACATTGACTGGCACTTCTGTTTCTCCTGGGGAAAGCAGCCTTCCCTTCAGAGAGGCCCATTTGCCAGTCTGCATTTCCCCAGATTGCTCTTGCCCTCTGTGTCCTCACATGGCTTGTCTATAGCCAGTCCCAGTGCTCTTCCCACCCTCCTGATCTCTGTGGCCAAAGGTGATGTGGGATCAAGCGTGTGCTGTGTTTTTTGGAGGCTCACATGTGCTGTGTGCCAGTGTTTCCTGTAGTTAAAAAAGCAAACAGTTCCATTGGTCCCCATCTGTCATTTTTTAAGCTTACTAGACCTTAATACCTATTTTGATAGAAATACTGATTTCCCACGGATGCAATATTCCAACAGAAACACTCTAGAGACCCCGTGATATCCATCACCTGCCTCCCTTCTAGAAGCCCCTCTCCCTTCCAGCTCCCCACCATGAGTATACCCCTTGAGCAAGGCTGCTAACACCTCTCTCCTTTCCAGTCTTTATGCCTTTTGATTTTCCTGATCATAAAGCCCACTGTTTCCACCCCCACCCAGGGCTCTGATATATCTGACATACTGTTATTACCCTTTTTTTTTTTTTTTTTTTTTTGGTAGCCCTAACTGGCCTGGAACTCTGTATATAGACTGGGCTGACCTTGATCTCACAGAGATCCACCTGCCTCTGCCTCCACCTCCCAGTTGCTGGGATTAAAGATGTGTGCCACTACGACCAGCTGTTGCTATTCTTTTAAGACTCTACTGCATTTCTCCTTTTCTGTGAGACTCTTCCTGGCTTATCCTTTTCCCCTCCTACCCCGAAGTGTCTCCCTTCCTTCCACTCTGAATCTCAGATCTACTTCTGCAATAATCCCTTTCAGAACAGAGGGGTTTGCTTCATGTGACCTGCCTTCCGCCCAGCAGCCCGTGCTTCTGGGGAACAAGGCAGTACACTTTTCCTCTCCTTGAAGCATTGATACAGGACCTGTACACAGCAGGCAGTCAATTATGTGTTGTCCATGAATAAAGGCACTTGTATTTTTAAAAAATGACTTTATTTTTGCTTTTCCCAGCTTCCTTTGTAGAAATGTATCTTGAGACCCGTGCTTTGTCATTTAAATGTTTTGGTTGGTTAGCTTTCATTTTTGCTGCTAGTGGCCAGATTGTGATCTTACAGTCAAGAACCAGAAGAGATTGCTTTCTCTGTGCTCCACGAGCAGTATGAATGCACTTAAGAAGTATCTGCTGTTTATTGCTTGACACTGAAATAATTTGATTGTTGAGTTCACTGTGTTCAGTCAAGTATTCCCATAGGCTCAGTAAGCTCCACTACAGAAAAAGCAGACTCCCTTGTGAAACATTTAATATGTGAACATTTTGAATATTAGCATCAAGGTCTGAGTTGTGACAGTAACTACCCATAAGGTAGAGCAGACTAGCATCACGCTACACAAAAGTGCTGTCCCATGTTGTAAGTTACCTACATTCCACTATAAGCAGTGGGTGGGATTTGTCTAGGAGCATGGTGGCTTACACTGTACTTTTGACAAATTATACAACTTTTTGTTCTTACTGTCACTTGCTCTCATTGGAAAATAAACATTCTTCAATAAATTGCAGTAGAAAGAAACTTGTTAATCTACATTGATTAAAGGGAATTGCTGGGGCTGGAGAGATGGCTCAGCAGTTTAAAACACTGGCTGTTCTTGCAGAAGATCCAGGTTTGAATCCCAGCGCCCACATGGCAGCTTATCAACTGTCCGTAACTCCAGTTCCAGGGGATCCAACAGCCTCTTCTGTCCTTCGCGGGCATTGCAAGACAACTTACCTACATGTAGGCAAATACACGAATACACATAAAATAAAATAAAACATTTTTTTTTAAAGGGTATTGCTTTGCAAGTCAGTGTTTCTGTCTTTTTTCTGAAGAAACTTTTATCTTAAAATTTAATTTTCTTGTGGGGTGTAGTGGCACACATCTTTAGTCCCAGCACTTTGGAGGCAGAGGCAGGCGGATCTCTGTGAGTTCAAGGCCAACCTGGTCTACATAGTGAGTTCCAGGACAGCTGGGGCTACAAGGAGACCCTGTCTCGAAAAAGACCAAAAAAAAATTTTAATTTTTTTAAGGTATCTCAGGGTTAAAATATTATAGAAGAAGGCTGGGTATGGTGGCATACACCTTTAATCCCAGCACTGTCTCGGCAGAGGGAGGTGGATCTCTGTGAGTTCAAGGCCAGCCTGGTCTCCATAGTGAGTTCCAGGACAGCTGGGCTACAGGGAGAGCTTGTCTCAAAAAAAATAAAATAAAATAAAATAAAATAAATAAATAATATATTATGGAAGCGCAAAACGCAAAGAGCAGAGTCAGAAGTTTGTTAAATGACAGGAGATACCAGCCTAGAGCTTTTAAAGCTAATGTTTTTAAACTTCTTCCAGCTGCACTTTAGTGTCAGCTGGAGACTTGTTAAAAAATACCAAGGCTCAGACTCATCCCCATCCAGTTATATCAAAGATTTGGTTAGTAAGGCCTAAATATGAATGCTTTTCAAGTTTGCAGTTGAGCTAATACTTAAACACATAGTTTTAGAGCTGGGATCATTACGCTTCTTGGGCCATATAATTTCTGTTGCAAATACTCAACTGAAGCTTCAGACATATGTGAATGAGTAAGGCACTGTGTCTCAGTAACACTGTGCTTAGGAAAACAGCTGCTGGCCCACTGTAGCCCTTGGCTGCAGTTTGCTTTTCTTGGTTCTTGCAGAATACAATCGCATTATTTCCTAAGGAGAGGAACAAATTAAAATGCAGGAATATTTATAAAGGTCAAGGCCATCTTTTGCTTTATCATTTTTTCTTTTTTATAGACAACGGCCCTTGTTTAGGTTCTCGGAAACCAGGCCAGCCCTATGAATGGATTTCCTACAAACAGGTAAGTTCCCTGGCTCTCTTAATTAGCTCTCCGCATCTCTGTGACCAAATAACACAAGCAGCTTAATGGAGAATAGGTTTGTTTTGGCTCAGGGTTTAAGAATATACAGTCCATCGTGGTGGGGAAGGCTTGATGCTTGACTGTAGGAGTTGGTAGTATAGCTTATTACATCTTAGCAGATCTGGAAGCAGAACCAGACCAGAGGTAGGGCTAGCCTAAACCCTTAAGGCTAGCCCCCATGGCCCTATTCTGCCAGCTAGATTCTGTGTACAAAAAGTTCTATAACTTCCCAAAATATTACCACTAGCTAGGGACCAAGTGTTTACACACATGAGCCTGCCACGGCAATTTCAGACTCAGACCGTAACTCTGGCTCTGTGGACTGTTCTGCACACTGTAGAATGAGTATTGGATCTGGGAAAGGACTACAGAGTTAAAGGCTACACTTTGGGAAAACTGCTGAACATCTGTGGAAAACACAACACAGATTTGGGGGAAAATCTAGTTAGGCAATTTAACTTTAGATTAAAGCACTTTATTGACAAGCAATATGGATTTACTGTGGAGTATAATTTTTCAGATAAAATTTAGAACTGTCATAGCTGGTGGTGACAGGCGTCTGCAGCCAGCCTGTCGGCTCTTCTAGCATATCATCATATTGTCCTCAGAGTTGAGCCAGCTGTCCATGGGTGTAGCATTTAACCCTTAGGCAGCATGGGAAAGAACACATGTCCAGAGAAGACACCTGCCTTGCTGTATAAACACGAAGCTGGAATCTGGGTTTTTTCACTCTTACCACTCTCCTCCCTACTTGTTGGGTGGCTGTAACTGTTGAAATCACAGTTTACGAGTAGCGAGTAGCAGGATGCAGAAGGGGAAGATGTTGCTTTTTTTTAATTTTTATTTTCATTGTGATTACACCAAATCAAGCTGTTTGCTTTTCCGGTCCAGTCTCAGGATGGGCAGGGACAGCTGGAAGTGCAGGTTGGCTGCCTTTCTTTCCCCACACAGCTGTCCAGGAAATGGCTTTCTTTCCCCAGGCTCCACTGCTGCCTGCTCTGGGGCCAGGTAATCCTGTGGCATTCGTGATTACAAATTGACTTCCTCCCTCTGTGTTTTGTGTGGATGGTGTTTTCAGTAGCTGGCTTGTCTGAGGGTGTGGGATGTGGAGGGAGTCATCATATGGAGCCACAAAGCCCAGCCTGGGGGTAGTGCTTGTCACAACTTCTTGGAATAAAGCATTGGATTTTTTTCCCTTGCCTCCCCAGAGGGCCAACAGGAATGTCAAAGGCTCTGCTTGCTTGAGTAGTAAGTACAAGTCTGTCTCTAGAGAGAGAAAAGGGAAAGCTGCTTATCACACCTGGTCTTTGGAAGGAGCCGGGAGCTCACGTGACTAGAGGGATTTCCCTATTTCTGTTTGGCCTTACCAAAGCCCAAATTATTCAGTTTTTTTCCATCCTCAGTGGTGGCTCACCTGTGTAATCCCAGCACTGAGGAGGTTAAGGCAGGAGGATTAATATGAGCTCTTGCCCAGCCTGGGCTTCATAGTGAGTTAGAGTCCAGCTCTGGGCTACAGCGACTCTGTCTCAAAATACCAACAATAAATAGTTGCTTCCAGAATCCCTTATCTTCACAAGTGCTATGGGAAACTTGTGTGTGTTTCGCACACAGCACTGTGATGCCCCTGAGGCCCTACAGACTCCTGGAGTACTTTCTGGATTGCTTCTGTTAGATTTATTGATCAAAAGAAGGAAGACAGCTGTTGCAGATTGGAGTCCAAGACAGACTGAAATTTCCCCAGGGTTTCTAAAGGTGTAACTGTGTGATTTACATATTTCAACTGGAGTCTTAGGAAATATGCAAGACTGAATTTAACTAAAACTAGCCTTGGATTGGTAGATTTAAAATCTTGTATTTATTTATTTATTATTTATTTAAATGAGTGTTTGTCTGCATGTACGGATGTATGAGTATAGTGCTCTCAGGTCAGAAGATGGCATTGGTTCACCTGGAACTGAAGTTGCAAGCTTCATACACGGTGTGGGTGCTGGGAACTAAACCTGGGTCCTCTACAAGAGGCACAGATGCTCTAACCACTGTGCAGTCTCTCCAACCCCTCATTTTTTTTTTTTATTCATCCAATGAGACTGACTTTGGATAATAAAGATCCCTTTGAGAATTTTTTAAGAGCAGAATGTACATCTTTGTAGAAACCAAATGTATGTATGTTATCCCAATAAGTTCTGCAAACAGTTGCAGATGTTTCTCAGATTCTAGTCCTTTAAATGCAACCTAGACTTGCAAACTGGTCCAGAGTAGAAGCTACTAAGTCTGTTCATACCACCTGAAGTCACTGGCCAGTGTCACTCTGATTCCCTTAGGCTGGGCTAGGTAAGACCATGTGTCAGAACCAACAGCATTCCTGGAAAGCATAGGTGTGGTTTGTTTCCTGTTGGCATGGGTGTGCCTTCAAAGTGTTCTGGAGAATAAAGAGCTCTAAATTTAAAAGTTTAAAAGTTTAGAAATAAACTTAGGGAGAAGTGGGGAGAGACTAGCCATGGATATACAGTCCTGTCTGATTTTTGTGAATCTGCTTTTGCATCTACTTTGTTGCTTATTATTTTTACTACTATTGCCCTAGATTTGATGTGTTTTCTATAGCTTTAATATTTTCCCAGCAAGCTAGCTGTCGTTTTCTCAGGGGGTCACTGTTATTTACTTAACCATCTTGCTGTTCTTTTTCCTTTTTTTTTTTTTTTTTTTTTTTTTTTTTTTTTTTTTTTTTCCTTTTAGGGTTTTTTTCAACTTTAGATAATGTTAAAATGTGTATCTTTGCATATGAGGCCTTTTAAAACCAACCTCCTTCTGATAAATTTGCCAAGAAATGCTTTAGAATAGGCTTGTAGAGTCCAGTAGCAAAAGAGTGCTTTCAGTTTTTGTTTTTGTTTCTTTTGTTGTTGTTGTTGTTTTGAGACAGGGTCTCCTTGTAGCTCCAACTGGCCTGGAGCTCACTATGTAGATCAGGCTGGCCTTGAACTCAGGGAGATGTGCCTGCCTCTGCTTCCCAAATGCTGGGATCAAAGGCATGTGCTAGCTTGCCCGCTGTTTGTGGTTTGGGGGGGTTTTGTTTGTTTGTTTGTTTTGGTCTTCTTTTTTTTGAGACAGGGTCTCCCAGTAGCCCCAGCTGGCCCAGAACTTGCTATGTAGACCAGGCTGGCCTCAAACTCACAGAGATCTGCCCTGCCTCTACCTCCTGAGTGCTGGGATCAAAGGCATGCACCACCACACCCAGCTCACACACAGCCTTCTTTATTGTCATTATTTTGTGAAACTAAAACAGAAAACAGTTGCATAGGAGCCCTGGCATGCAGTTATCTGTGACCTGCAGACTGAGGAGCATTCACTTTGCAGAAGGGATCCAACAGCCAGATCCATTAACACTGAGTTGTAGTGAGTAAAACCTTGCATTGTACAAAGAGAAAGTGTAGCTCCCATCTCCTTGCAGCTCTGCTTGCTGCTGAGACACTGCTCTCGTTACCTGGTGAGCCTTGATTCCTAGCCCTGAGATGGGCGTTCTTTCTAATGCTTTCCTCCCCTATGTTTCAGGTCGCTGAACTGGCTGAGTGCATAGGCTCCGCATTGATCCAGAAGGGCTTCAAGGCCTGCCCAGAGCAGTTCATTGGCATCTTTGCTCAAAACAGACCCGAGGTATTAACCATGAGCCACTTATTGTATGCGTTTCCCAGGTTCACACCTGCTGCTGCTTGGAACTAGATTTTGTGGTCTGTTTCTGTTGGGAATATGACTTTGTGGTTTGCCTTAGAAAGTTACAGGTTTAAAAACCTGAACCAAGACTTTCTTAAACTTTAAAGAGGAAAAAATATCATTTACCAATTATCACTTATCTTTTTTTTTTTTGGTTTTATTTTCTTAACCTAAGTCCAATTCTTAGAGCAAATATCTAATCAGAAGTCTTTTCCTTTTAAGTGCTACCTCTGTAATTTGATAAATGACATTAATAAATTATAACAGAGAAACATAGATACATTTTTGTTAGTAGCAAACTCTGTTCTTTCTGAAAGGTCTGGGCTTTTCTTCTGGCTGAATTTCCAAATTTAAAATATACCTGTGATATACATGATATGAACTGGCCTTCTTGTAGACACACAGCCTATCACTTACCTGTGTAGGCCCATGCTTGAAGTAAAATGAGAGGCCCTCTTGAAGGTACTGTTAACAGTGTCTGTCAACAGTAGCTGTTCTGGAAAAAAATCCAAGCATTGAATTTGCTTTTATACCTGCCTATGTCTAAAAGGTCATCTTGGTTCTATCTGTGGGCTAGTTCATATTTTATAAATTAGAATATCTTCATAGAGCTTCGTGTGTGGCAAGGAGGTGGCATTCTCCACAGCTGGCCTGTGGTTCATCTCATGGTATGATTTTGGCTTTCTTTCATATGTAGTAGACACATTCAGAATTTTTGCTTCAGTTGGATTTTTTAAATATTTTATTTATTGTTTTTTTTTTAATTTTCTGTGTGTGAGTATATTACCTGCATGTATGTAAGTGAACCCATGTCATGCAGTGCCCATGGAGGTTAGAAGAGGGCATTGGATTCCCTTGGAACTGGAGTTATGGATGGTTGTTAGCCATCATATTGGTGTTGGAAATTGAACCCAGGTCCTCTGCAAGAGCAGCCCATACTTTTAACTGCTGAGCCATCTCTCCAGCCCCTTCAGTAGGATTTTTATCACTAATTTATAACCACAAAACATGTCCCTCATTCAAGGAGTAGATTCTTGCTTGAATTTTTGAGGTATTTCACCAATGTTTATTGAGCAGGCAGTAGGTGAGGTACCACAGTACATGGTAACTCATGTCCTCTTCCTGTGGTGACTTGTAAAGGAAGACACACCCCAAAACTGATGCTGTCTCTGAAATGTGGTAAGTGTGGACCTGGGGAAGAGGGATTATGAGAGATCAGCCAGGAAGGGCTTCCTAGACATAGTGCCTGAGTAGAGTCTTGAAGGAAATACTATAAACAAACGAAATCCCAGTTCCAGGCCACATGCATGTGAGTGCTTGGCCCCACCTCCCATGGCAGCTAGCTATACCTTTCTCTGTGCTATGGTTAGTTTTCTGCAGTGTCATTCACAAAGGGCATCAGAAATGAAGGGGTATCCTGAGGGGTTGTAAGTGAAAGAGTGACCATGCCACACTTATCTAAGCAGTAAATCAGTTGCTGTATAGCCAGTGAGTTTAATGGCAAGATAACCAGCTACTGTGTCACAATTTTCCCTTATCATCTTTCTAGGAAGATTTTTTTTTTCAAAACAACTTAGCTGTTTGATAGATATGTGCTCTTCTTCCCCAGTTTCCAGACCATACTATACACTATTGCAGGATTGACCCTTCTTAAACCCCACAACCATTGTGCTGCCTAGACTGCCTCAGTGACTCTGTGTCACCTGGGGAGAAGAGCCTGACCCTGTGGCAGTCTTGCTCCAGCCATCCCCACCAGTCAGGCATATATGCCAGCCTGATTGCTCCCTGGCCTCCACCCAGCCTCTATTGAAGTCCTTTGCTGGTGTTCTCTGTCTCTCTCTGTCTGTCTCTCTGTCTCTCTCTGTCTCTCCCCCCATGCTCCACATTCTCTCTCTCTTGAAAAGGATAAACTCAGGTTTCTTCCCACCAAGGCACCTGCAACTGTCTAGAGCCCGCAACAAGCTCCCACTCTAAACCAGTCACTGTTGTGCCTTGTGATGATCATTTTACACACTTGCCTCTATTCTTCAGTCAGATTGCAGTTTTTTGTTTTTTTTTTAAGAAGGGGGCAAATCTTTGTATGCTAACTTAAAAATTAACTTTAAAAGAAAAAAAAGAAATGAGAAGATTGCAAGAATACAAAAAAAAAAAAAAAGGATCAAGTATTTTGTTTCTGTTTGAAACAGGTACCTTGTGGTACCTGTGCAGAGGAGTAGACAGGCCAATGTTGATTTTTCTGCATTAGATACTTCTGATTTGAATCGCCAAACTTTGCCCTTTGCAGCGATTCTGATGTGACATCTGATTTTCTTTCTGTGACTTTTTTATTATTTAGTGGGTGATCATTGAACAAGCATGCTTCACTTATTCAATGGTGATCGTTCCACTTTATGATACCCTTGGAACTGATGCCATCACCCACATAGTCAACAAAGGTACGTGACTTTTGCATGGATTGGTTATAACAGCTTTGGCGACTGCTTGAGATTTGTTTATCTGCTTAGTGAGGATATTACATTTAATACGAATCACCCTTTGTGTTCAGAGAATGTAGCTTTTGTAGTATGCTAGTATGCTTAATTCGTGCATTACAGTCAAGCTTTGGCACCCCGAGGCTCATTCTTTATTATCTCTTCATTGACAGCTGAACTTTCTGTGATTTTTGCTGATAAGTTAGAGAAAGCCATGGTGTTATTAGAAGGTGTAGAAAATAAGTTAACACCAGGCCTTAAGATCGTAGTTCTCATGGACCCTTTCAGCAGTGATCTCGTGGAGCGCGGCAAGAAGTGTGGTGTGGAAGTCATCAGCCTAAAGGCTCTCGAGGTGAGTCTTTCATCTGTTTCACTTCTCTGAAGGTCAGACATGAGACCCAAGGTCACTGTGTCATCCCAGTGCTGGTCAGCCACCTCTTAACCCCTCAAAGACACAGGACAAAGATTCTCATCTTCTTACTAGAAAAAGATTTTGCTTGCATGCTGAGTTAATTGTTTTGTTTGCTTTGTTTTTTGAGATGATCTCACTGTGTAGCCAGGGCTAGTCTAGAACTCACTGTGTAGCCCAGATTAGCCCTGAAGGCAGTTTAGCTTACCAGATGCTGAGATTATAGGAGTGAACCCCAGTTCCCAGCATTAATGTCATACATCGCTCACTTCCTACAGAAGTCCTCTCTCATGAAAGGGATTGCAGTACTGATATTTATCCTCAGTACTGGTGAACCATGATAGTAAATGCTGGAACTGTGACTTTCAGCTTTACACAGGTTGAAATTTCTAGTTTGTATGCCCTCATTAGGCTTCACTGTCTTTTACTTACTGATTTGTCTCTGAAACCAAACCAGGTATAGAAATCATTTGCCTCATCATCCTTGTGCATATATGTGTGTGTGTATGGATGTGTGAATTTTATGGCACACAGGTGGAAGTCAGAGGGCAATTTGCTGGAGTCAATTCTTTCTTCCACCATGTGGGTCCAGGGTATCAAACTCAGATCATTAGTCTTAGTGGCAGGTGCCTTCACCCACCTAGCCATCTTACTGCCCCCATCATTCTTTTTCCTGGGGTTTCTTTTATAGATCCTGGTGAATTTCAAGTATAGATTTTTATTTATTTGTCTTTTTGTTTTGTTTTTATTTTTGACTTGGTTTATTTTCATATTCACTTTGCAACTCACAGTAAGCACCACTTTAAAAGTAATTATTCGGGGCTGGAGAGCGAGCACAGTGGTTAAGAACACTGACTGTTCTTATGGAAGACCTGTGTTAGAAGCCCAGCACCCACATGGCAGCTAACAACTGTCTGTAACTCCAGCTCCAGGGGATCCGACAGCCTCTTTTGTCCTCCACCGGCATTGGACAACATGGATGCACTTACCTACGTGCAAGCAATACACGCATACAGATAAAAATAATAAAATATTTAAAAGTAATTATTCTAGGAGAATGAGTGTGGTGCATCTGAACAGATTCTCAAACTGGATTTGGTTTAGAAAGCAAGGAAGCCAGCAGGAGGAGGATCTTTTTATATATGCACCATAGATAGTAGACTGCATAGAGTAAGCCTTGTTATCTCTGATGATGTTATAAATATTTTTATGCAACTGTTAAATAAGGTTTTGATTTTTTTATTCATGGTTCTTTTCCTTCTACAAAAAATTAGAGGCTGCAAAGAAGACTCTAGGAGCTTTCCTGAGAAATCTAGTGCCCATAGGGAACCTCGTTCCAGTGGAACACCTGCCTTATGCTGACATGCAAGTGCATGCACACATACAGAAGCCCAGAACACAGCTCCATACACATCAGGGCCTAGGCTTCATTGCTAAAAACATCACACAGGCAGATTTAGGTAGCCATGCAGACACTCCCACTTGAGTTTTCTTTTTTCTTTTTTTTTAATTGTAATCTCCTTTCGAGATAATGAATCTGTTTTCTCTACCTTCCTTTCTGTCCCTTCCTCCAACATGCACATGTAGCTAGTTTTTTCTTTTGTCTTTTTTAACCACTGCGTGATAAAAAAGTAGTTTTAAAATTAAAACATTACTTTGATGAAGAATTGGATATTGTAGTATTGAGTTTATATTAAAATTTAATTTGCACTTACGTTGTATCTACCTGCTCAATGTAATTTGTAATTTTTAAAATTCACGGTATGGTTAACTGAGAAGTCAAGTTTACATTAATGTTGTATTAGTTACTTTTCTGTTGCTGTGATAAAATACTGTGGTCAAGGTAGCTTATAGATTGAAGAGTTTATTTGATTTTGATTCCAGGGGGATTAGAGATGGCGGGGGAGGCATGACAGCAGAAGTGACCAGAGCAGCTGAGGGAGCACATCTTCAAGCAGGCACAGGAAGCAGAGGGTGACTGGAAATCTGATAAGACTTAAGAACTCTCAAAGCCCACCCATAGTGACATGCTTCCTCCAACAAGCCTACACCTCCTAAAACCTCCCCAAATAGCACCACCAACTGGGGACAAAATGTCCAAATACTTGGAGCCTACAGGGCATGTTCTCATTCAAGCTACTACAAATATATATTTACATTAATACATATTTTTACAAAATCCAAATAGAACATAGGCATTTTAAGGTTTTTTTGTTTTGTTTTGTTTTTTTTGTTTATGTGTGTGTGTCTGTGTGTGTTTTGTTGTTGTTTTGAGCCAGAGTCTCACTATGTAGCTCTGGCTGGCTTGGAACTTACGGTGTAGACCAGGCTGGCCTCAAACTCAGAGTGATCCACCTGCTTCTGCCTCCAAAGTACTAGGATCAAAAGTATGCGCCATTATACCTGGCTGACCATAGGCATTTTGAATGTTTGCATTTTCAATATATTAATTATGAGTACCTCAGACTCACAAACCATTGGAAGAGTCCTGCAGCGTACAGTCATGATTCCATCTTCCTACTGGAAGAGTCTACAGTTTTTTTTTTTTTTTTTTGGTCTTTTTGAGACAGGGTCTCCCTGTAGCTCCAGCTGCCTGGAACTCACTCTGTAGACCAGGCTGGCCTCGAACTCACAGAGGATCCGCCTGCCTCTGCCTCCTGAGTGCTGGGATTAAAGGTGGGCACCACCACTCCAGAATGGCCCAGAATGGCACAATTTGTAAAAGTAATTGCTGTGTTTTTTCTAAAAGTTGAGACAGATTTAAGGCTATGAAACTTCCATTGCAGATAGTATGCAAGTGGAGGTACCATTTATTCCCCCAATAAAAAGCAGAGTACATGTGTCTATTGCTTTAGCTTATTTAAAATGAATTTTTGAAGAACTAAAGATCTCTAGAAGTTATGTAACAATTTTGAACAGATTAGCTGGGCATGGTGGTGAACATCTGTAATCCGTAACTTGGGAAGTAGATGCAGGAAGATCAATTTGAGGTTCAGATGCATTGTTACTTTGAGGTCAGCCTGGGCTCCATGAGACCTTAAAAAAAAAGAATCTTGGGGATGGAGAGATAGCTCAGTGGTTAAGAACACTGACTGTTCTTGCAGAAGACTGGGGTTCGAATCCCAGCACCCACATGGCAGTTAACAACTGTCCGTAACTCCAGTTCCAGGGGATCCGACAGCCTCTTCTGTCCTCCGCGGGCATTTCACGATGCAGGTGCACTCATCTACATGCAGGCAATACATGCATACACATAAAATAAAAATAATAAATATTTTTTTAAAAAAAGAATCTTAAATAGATGAGTTGAAATTTGGAGCCAGTAAAGGTTATTTGAAAAATCATTTGCAAAACTATCATGCTGCAGCGCCTTGTTGACTTTTCCAGTTTTTTAAGCTGGGGACTCTGAATGTTGCCCAGGCTGATCTGGCACTCCCCCATCCTTTTAACTCAGCCTCCCAGGTTCAAGAATTATAGGCGTGTGCTGTGCCCAACCCTAGCTGATACCTAATTGGACATCAGTGTTCTTGTTTTTAACCTGCAGTCTATGGTATGTGTAATTTAAATTGATTAAAATTAAAAGCTGCTTAAAGTGTGCTAGGTGGAGTTCAGCGAAACCTGAGCACACCCATCTAATTTCCATTTTGCAATAGGCACCTGCATTCTCCATATGCTCACTGAAGCTGTTCACTTTTACTATGCAGTCTATAAATTGTTCTCTTTTTTTGAATGAATGAATGAATGAATGAATGAATGAATGAATGAGTGAATGAGTGAGTGAGTGAGTGAATGAATGAATACAAAAGTGGCTGAATGCAACAAACTGAAGCATATCAGTAGTAGTCTGCAGAGTTCTGGGTCGGGAAGTGCTGCACCTAGACATGAATCTGTGATCTGATCCTTAATGTCCTTTCAACAAAGAAGTCTAAGGCTCTCTCTTGCAGCCTGTTTCACAGTTCAAAGCTCCCACATCTCCCCACTTTGTGAGGAGTGTGAATATTTGAGCTCATTTAAAATAGCTAGCCTGCGTATCTGGCAGAGAGTTTTTCTCCCTGTAGAAGAGGTCTTTTGGCAGAGCTAGGTGGTCAGGGAGTATATTCTCTGATGGGTGAGGGTGCTGAGGATCTGCAGCTCTTTACTTAAGGTCAATGACAAGGCCTTGTTAAAGGTCATCATAGCAAAAGGGAGGGGAATCAGAAATACAGTGCAGAAGACTTTGCTGTCTTTGAATAACTCTTCTTTCAGGTCTTAATACCATTTATGTAGTTTTATATAGAGAGGAGATAACTGGAAAATGGCTTCCTAGAAAACTGGGTAAATATTTTGGCTCTAGTTACTTAAAATTGCCCCAAGTTTGTTTATTTGAAAATGATAGTCTTTGAGCCAACTGTGAGTAAAACCTGAAGTAAAAGCAGCTTTTAGTGACTTGATTGGACCTTACTCTTTACAATAAGAAGTAATGGTTTTCTCTTCCTCTCTCTTCTCGTTAAGGACCTGGGAAGAGTGAACAGAAAGAAGCCCAAGGTAAGCATTCTGTTAAGCCATGTTAGAGCCTTCTAGAGCCCTGTCATTTTCAATATCTAGTCATATTGGAGACTGTTAGAAATTTGGAGTAATAGCTTGTAGCGTAATGTTTTCTGTTCTGATTTATACCTTTTTAAAAATTTTCCTTCAGCCTCCAGCACCTGAAGATCTTGCAATAATTTGTTTCACAAGTGGAACTACAGGTACATTTTGAGGTGGAATTGCTTCAGAGTGGTATGTGGAAGCCTGTGCTCTCTGCCCCCTTTTTGGATGACGTATTAGCTAATTATAGATGCACACAAGAAAGCAGGAGAGACAGAAGTGGTACAAGTGAGATCATCTTATTACCTTGAGCATTTACTCAAGTATTTACTGAAAGTGACATCAGATCCACTCATCTTCCTAGAGCAGACTATCAGTGTCTCCTTTATTGATACACACACCCATTAAAGACTGACAGATAAAGATAATAGTTTAAGGTAATTTCTAGATAGTAAGTTTCATTGAAAGGATTGTAGGTTGCTCAGGAATTTAATGTTACTCATTTCGCTACCCTGAGGGACTCTGACAGCAGAGGGAGGTATTTGAAGCCCTAATGATACCATGCTTGGCAGAAGTGTCTAACCTTGTCCTGCTTCCTGTGTGCTCTGCAGGCAGCCCCAAAGGAGCATTGATCACTCACCGAAATATTGTGAGCGATTGTGCAGCTTTTGTGAAAGCAACAGAGGTAACTTTAAAATATTGTCATGTTTCTTCACATTCATTGATTGGCGTTAGGCCTCAAGAAAGAAAATAAAGTTCTCCTTCCTGACTCGGGTCCACATTGTATATAAGAACACTGGACTGTAAATAAGGCCTGAACTTTTAATATGGCTAAAAGTCACTTTCCCTCTGATGGTTTTCCTTGTGAACCTAATGTTTCAAGTCTTCCTGTGACTGTTAAGATGAATTGACAGATGGAATTTACCGTAGCTTTTACATGGTGAAACTGTTTGGATGTTGCCCTATGAATATTTCCAGGAAAGGACAAAAGAGAGAGAACTCTCAGTACCATTTCCCTCCATTTTAGTATTGGAAATATCTTTAAGTTTAGAAATGTTAAAGACTAATGGTTATTATGTATTGTGGTGGGTTTGACTCCTATTGTATGACAAACATTAAAGCTTCAAACTATCATTAATTTCCTATCATCTTGAGGTTTTGTACCTACAGGTTATAGTCTCTCCAGGTTGCCATAACAAAGCACTATAGCCTAGGTACTTAAACAATAGATATTTGTTTCCCCCCAGTTCAGGAGCCTGGAAATCCAGGATCAGCTGCCAGCAAATTTGGTTCCTGGTGAGGGCTCTCTTCCTGGCTTGCAGATGGCTGCCTCTTTCTGGGTGTTCATGCTCTGGTGTCTTTTCTAATGAGATGCCAGGCTGTTGGGCCAGAACCCACTCCCAAATCCAGTCATATCTGGGCCCTACCTCCAGATACATGAGACTGCAACATATGATTTTGGGAGGGAGACAGTTCAGTTCCTAACCCCAAAGCTGTATTTCATGCTTGTCTTTGCCTAGGTACTTTTTTTCTTATTTAACACAACTTGCTTTTGCAGTCTCTTGGGAATATTCTGTAACCCTACTTTTTTTGGCAGGAGCCTGTGCCTAATGGTTTAGGGGAGTGGGTATCTTTCTTTTATGGCTGCAGAGGGTTGATCTTGGGGGATATGTGCCACTTGATTTTACTCCCCACTCACATTTCTTAGTCAACTTTTTTTTGGTGTAGACTTTATAAACAACTCTACAGTTAATATTCTACCAAAGTGAAGTTTTAGTTTCCAACTAGGTCATCAGAAATAATCTTAGTAACCTTAACTGACTTTCAATGATGACAGAACTTTAAAATCAGTTACACTATCAAGTGACATTATCAACTTCTAAAACTTCTAACCATGTGGGCCTTATTTTGTGCAGTGAATCAGAAAATTCAAAAGTATGGGTGCTAGTAATGTACCTCAAAGGTAGAAAGCATGCTTTGCATGATGACGGCCCTGGGTTCAATCTACAGCACCACAAAATATATACATAACGTGTGTCTGAATATATATATATATATGACCACAACTGAGACTGATTCCTCATTTCATAGTAAGAAATGCTATTCAGTATGTATTTCACACTTCATTAGGATTAATCAAGATTATAGCATGCCCAGCCTAGATCTAGTGTTCTCACCTAATGCTACATTGTTTCCAAGACTGACCCAACTTTAGGGAGGAGAAAGATTGGCTTAAAAATTACCCACATACATATATATCTCCACACACATGAACACACACATACATCTCTCTCTTTCTCTCTCTCTCTTTCTCTCTCTCTCTCTCACACACACACACACACATACCATCATCCTCATTTCTGAAGCTAGAGTGGCAGCAGCTTCTGTTGGCAAGCCTTTTTTTGTGTTAATGTGTTAATAACATGAACATACTGCGCAAACCCTCACTGCACCTGCCCCTAAGGAAGGTCTACTCTGAGAAAAACCAGGTGTCCATGGTTAATCTGCTTGTGGAGGTTGCAGTCAGCACATTGGGGTATTTTCCTGGGGCAAAGAAGGCTTTAAGGTAAAAATGTTATCAAATTCAAGTACTCTAGATGCATTTATACCATAAATTAAAGGACCTTGGGAATAGTCTCTTCTCCCCTTCCCCCTTTCCCTTTTTGATATAACAGTGCTGGCTTATTAGGGAGTGGATCTTACAATGCTTGAGGGGCAGTGGAACCTGCAGGGTAATGGGTACTATAACTGAAAAACTAAATAAGTAGAGCACACAATCCTTCAACATTCCAATTTGGCCAAAATTTTCTTTACAGGGAAACAAATGTCCTGGAGAGATTGTGTTTAGTCATTGGGAACACCTTCCACTGACTGAGGTGTTACTTTGGGACTGGGGACATAGCCCTGTGGTAGAGCACTTGCCTTGCATGTGCAAAGCCCAAGGTTCCATCCCCAGTACCACCACAAAAAACAACAACAACAACAAAAAAAATCCACATAGCTTTTCATTTTTTGATGAGAAAAAAATAAAGGCAGACCTGAGCAAAACCAGCTTTCCTCAGTGTTGAGGTACCTGTGCTCTGCTCTGAGGGAAAAGGAACCTATTGGACGCCTTAACACTTCTCTGCTTGCTGGTGTCTTTGCTTTCAGACGGCAGTCAACCCTTCCCCAGATGATACTTTGATATCCTTCTTGCCTCTCGCCCATATGTTTGAGACGATTGTAGAGGTAGGCATCTGCTGTGTTCTCCCTGCCTGTCTGTGTGTGCCCTGCTAAGTCATTGTGTTTTACAGAAAACACTGACCATGAATGCCAGTGACACACAGATTTCGTTTTTACCACTTGCACACATGTATGAGCAGCAACTGCAGGTAAGTGTGGTGCACTGCGTTCCCACAGACAGTTCTATATCAGACCCATTTCATCAACGGCAGATTATTAGAATATAAATTATTTTCTAGGTCCAGAATGGGTATTTGAGTTTCAGTCCTGCATTTTAAAATTGAGGGTGCCAGTACCCATGTGGACACAGTTGCAGGTGAACTGTAGAAGGAAGTTCTACATTTAGCTGATAAGTCCCCATGAGGGCCCTGTTCCAGAAGCACTCTCCCTTGTAGAATTTTTTTCCCTATTTTTCCATGTGCCCTGGGGAAGGATGATGTTCAACTGATTTTTGCCTGGGATCCCTGTACACAATGCTGCAGCTAATTTAAGAACTGACTAAGGGCTGGGGAGATAACTGAGTTGGAAAATGCTTACTGTGCAAGCATGAAGACCTAGATTTGTTCCCCAGCATCAATGAAAAAAAGGCACTTGTGGTGTGTGCACTTGTTATTCCAGCACTGAGGATGTGGAGATAGGCAGATCCCTGGAGCTCACTGATCAGCCTGCCTAGCCTAATTGGCAAGCCCCAGGTTCCACTGAGAGACCTTGTCTCAAAAAACCAAGGTGGCTGGATTTCTGAGGAACAACTCTCGAGGTTGTCCTCTGATCTACACATACCCGGGGCGGGGGGGGGCAGAGAAGAACATCTTTTTCCTCCTTCTTCTTGGACAATTTGGATTTTTTTTTTTTTTTTGGTTTTTTTGGAACGGGGCCCCCTTTTACCCCACGCTTCCCTGGAACCCCCTGGTAAGCCCGGGTTGCCTTTGAACCACAAAAGGCCCCCCTGCCTCGCCTCCCCAAGTGCTGGGATTAAAGGCATGTGCCACCACACCTGGCGACAATTTGGATTTTTTTTTTTTTTTGGTATTTTTGAGATAGGGTCTCCTTGTAGCCACAGCTGTCCTGGAACTCACTGTGTAGACCAGGTTGGCCTTGAACTCCACAAGGTCCTCCTGCCTCTGCCTCCCAAGTGCTGGGATTAAAGGCATGTGCCACCACACCTGGCGACAATTTGGATTTTATACCAGAAGAAAAACAATGGGCAACATTTATTCCTTACTGAGTATTTATTGAGCACCAGCCCAGCCATATGCCAGGAATTATGCTAGATGTTGGACATAGTTGACTAGTAGAGAGTGGACACTTTGTTGCCCTATAGGACTGACTTACTCCTATAAATGATCAAAGAGTATCAGGTTCCACCTTCCACCTTTTATGAGTTTATGAAGTGATCTCAAGCGAGTTGCTAGTGGACTGCAGGGACCTACCTGTACCCTTGAGGTACGCGTAGGAGGCATAAGCCTATGAACCTTTAATGTTTCAACTTGAATCACCATATACTTTCCTTTCTTTCTTTCCTCCCTCCTTCCTTCCTTCCCTCCATCCCTTTCTTCCATCCTTTAATTTATTTTGTATGTTCATGTGTGTTTATGCTTGTGGGTTCAGGCATGCATATGCCATGGTGTACATGTGGAGGCCACAGGACAATCTTTGATCGTTGGTCCTCACCTTCTCTCCTTTGAGATAGGGCCTCTCAGCCACTCTGTGAGACAGGCTAGCTGGCCTGAGATCCTCTGGAGATTGTCCTGTCTCCACTTTCCATTTCCCATAGGTATACAGGGATTATAGGTGTGTATACTGCTGCATCTGGCTTTGTGTCTTTTTTACATTATTTATTTGTTTGTTTTCTTATTAGTGTGTATGTACATGGGCACACTTGGAGGTTAGAGGATAACATTTGAGAATGAGTTCTTCCCTTCCACCATGTGATCCTAGGGACCAAACTCAGGTCCTCTCCAACTAGGCTAGCAAGTGCCCTTATCCACTGAGCCGTCTTGCCAGCCTGCCTCCACTTTTTTTCACATAGATCTTTGGATCTGAACTCAAGTGCTCAGGCTTGTGTGGCAAGTGCTTTACCCTCAGAGCTATCCCGCAGCCCTCGTGCTGTACTCTTGGAGTATTTTTTAACTTTTTTCAAGCTAGTATATTTCTGTTAAATCATCTTTTGAACCTTTTTTTTTTTGTTTTAAACTTATAAAATAGTCATATTTTTCTAGTCCATCTGGGTAGCCAGTACAGTTTTCAAGAAATGGGGAAGGTATTGTGTAGTATAATGTGGCCTGCCACATACAGTCCTGACTTCAGCATATTCAGTGTCTTTTCAGAAAATTTCACTTAGATTCAAAAAGAGGAAATGAGATCACAAGCCTGGAGTAGAGGCAAGGAGTTTTATTTTGAGACTAAATAAGCCCTCAAGTTTCTGGAAGAATAGAAATATCTGGGGTATACAAAATGACACATAACTTATCTAATAGATGTTCATTAACCCAAGGTAGCCCCCCATTAGACAGAGTCTGCCCTGTTTCATACTAACTTCTGAATATTGGGTGGTTGAGAAGCATTGCATTTCCATGCCATTTGTACAGTAACAATTAACATTTGTACAGTAATAAATTAACATTGTACAGTAACAAATTAACATTTGTACAGTAACAATTAAATGCAAGCATATCTTTAAAGAAGCCACCCATGTGTGAACCTCTAACCCCGCAGTCTTATATGCTGTCTGAGTGTGGTGGAGCCCTTGTTGCAATGATAAAGCATTTGTTGTCTGTTTTCACCCGTAGTGTGTAATGCTATGTCATGGAGCTAAGATAGGATTCTTCCAAGGAGATATCAGGCTGCTGATGGAAGACCTCCAGGTGCTTCAGCCCACCATCTTCCCTGTGGTTCCCAGACTGTTGAACCGGATGTTTGACAGAGTGAGTCCCAAGCAGCAGAGTGTGGGGGCCAGAACTTGGGGCCCCAAGTCCCAGTACTAGTCTGATTGGGGGTTAGCCACGTACCTTGTGTGGCTAACAACGGTACTCTTACTCACAGACTTCAGTCTATGCCTCTGTAAAATTAGAATTCACTTACCTCACAGAACTGTTGGTAAGGACCACGAGAGAAAAAACACGTACTGTGTTTCAGTCCTGAGATGTAAGCTGGGAGGTCATTTGATTTTATTGGTAAAGTCTTCGATCCTCGTCCATAAAATGGGCTACCTCTTTCCTCTGTCTCAGAAAGTTGCTAATTGGATCACACATAAATAACTATGAAATGATTTTATTAATTGTTACATTCCATGCACACACAATATTCCTTGGCCACATTGAGAACACTGAGAGGATGTGTCCTCTGAGGTGGTCATCACAGTGTGGACTGCCCAGTTGGGCACAACCAGTGAGTTCATCATGGACAGTCTTCAGTTGGTTTTGAATGGTACTATAATACTCTTTTTCTTTTTTCTTTTGTTTCAGAGGCAGGGCCTCTGTCATCTCTAAGAGCCTTTTTTAAATAAAAATTCTTTCTTTAAATAACATTGAAACGGGGCTGGGCGTGGCGGTGCACGCCTTTAATCCCAGCACTCAGGAGGCAGAGGCAGTGAGTCTCCATGAGTTCAAGACCAGCCTGGTCTATACGGTGCACGCCTTTAATCCCAGCACTCAGGAGGCAGAGGCAGTGAGTCTCCATGAGTTCAAGACCAGCTTGGTCTATATAGTGAGTTCCAGGCCAGCTGGGGCTGCAGGGAGACCCTGTCTCAAAAAATAAAAATAAATAAATAAATAGTAAAAATTATTTTAAAAAACAACTTTGAAACAGCTTCATGGAGATATATCTCACTTAAACTGCAGTTCATGGGCCACTGCTCTAGCTCTGTGGTCAGGTGCATGCTCAGCATGTGTGAGGCTTTAAGTTCAGTCCCCAGCAATAAAAATATAAATGTACAGTTCAAAGATTTTTTTTGAGTACTTTCCAAATTCTGTGACCATCATCACAGTCAATTTTAGAACATTTTCAGAAGGTCACAAGAAAACCTTTACCTGCTCTTTTGGTTACTTTCTATACACTAAATTCTCAAGCAATCAATATTATACCTTCAAAGTGTACAGGTTTCTCAATTCTGTACTTTCACATTAATGAGGCCATGCAAAGTGTGTTCTTCTGTGACTGACTTCTTTCACTAGCATGCATTCAGTCATCATCCAGCATTTTGTTCCTTTTCATAGAGAAATAGTATTACACTGTTTGGATGTGTGGGTGTAACACAGTTTAGTTAGCCGTTCCTTCACTGATGGTCACTTGGGTTGTTTCAGCTTTGGGCTGCTGTGAGTAACTCTGCTATAAACACTGGTGTGCAAGCTTCCTTGTGGACATGTTTTCATTTTTCCATTTCCGTACCTAAGAGTAGAATTGTTGGGTCACGGGCCTCTCTGCCTAACAGTAAAGGAGCTGCTGGATGGTTTTTCATAGCAGTTGTGCCATTTCCTGTCCCCGCTGGTGGCATGTGAGCTTCCTCTTATTCTGCATCCACCACTTTGTGCTATTGTCTTCCTTTTTGATTTTAGCTATCTTAGTAAGTGTGAAACTCTTGTTTCTTGCCATACTAGATTTTTGGACAAGCCAACACTACGCTGAAGCGATGGCTGTTGGACTTTGCCTCCAAGAGAAAAGAAGCCGAGCTTCGCAGTGGTATCATTCGAAACAACAGCCTGTGGGACAAACTCATCTTCCACAAGATACAGGTAACAAGTAGACTCGAAGCTGGGATTTTCAATATAAAGTCTAGCACCACCTGCACATGCCTACACTTCATACCTGTAATCCAAGATACTTAGGATTAGGCAGAACAATTGCAAGTTCAAGGCTAGCCTGGGCAATTTAGTAAAACCCTGTACCAAAATAAATGCAAATAGAGGAGTGGGATGTAGCTCAGGAGTAGAACTCAAGCCCAGCATGTCCACAGCCCTGAGATCAATCTCCATCACACACACACACACACACACACACACACACACACACCCCACATGTGCACATGCAGGATATGGGGGGTAAAGCTGAGACTAACGTGTTTTTATTCTTTCTGGTACATGTCTGAAAATTGGGGATAAAGCTGATAAGAAGGAGTAAACCTCGTTTTCCATCCACTTATGAGCAGTATTGCAGCCATTCTAGGTGGAAAGACTAGGATAGGTTAGTCTAATTCTTCATTTTGTTTAGCTTCTCTAGAACAAGCATGCTACTCTTGAGGAAATGTTTTACACATGAGCGATAAGAATGTTTAACAACATTGTCTCTCCTCAAATGCCAAAGCAGTGGTGGCTGCCTCAAGTCCACTGTGTTGTTCCAGATCTCTGGAACACCCACACCTGTAGCAGTGGTGTTGGCTTGTTTCTAAACCTTTTGGGAATAAGTGGGATGGTTCTGGGTGGAAACAGCCTCCTGTCCTATGTTCCTGTTGTAAACACCATGAGCTCTCTGCCCCATGAGTCCTACCACGCTACCTGCAGGAAAACTGGTAAACTGGGATACAGTGTCTTAAGCAAGTATCTGACAGAGGAGCCCACTGACTTCCACATGTATAACCGTCACTTCTCTCTGTACCTTGCAAGTCGAGCCTGGGCGGGAAAGTCCGACTGATGATCACCGGAGCAGCGCCAGTTTCTGCCACCGTTCTGACATTTCTGAGAACAGCACTTGGCTGTCAGGTGAGGTCTAGTCACACCCCTAGATTATCCCAGGCTTTGTGTTGCTATGTGTCAACTTTTTTAATTGACAGATTTGTATATATTTTCATCGTACAATGTAATTTATGAATATATTGAGTGATTTATGAATATACTGAATGATGGCTAAATTACTGTGTTACCTCACATACTTAATCACTTTTGTGTGTGGTGAGAACACCTAGAATCAACTCATCAGTTTTCAAGTAGATGACTGTACTTTGTGTTTTACTGTACTCACCATGTGGTCTCCTGTGTTAACTTGCCATGCTCTACTGTGGAGCATTTGAACTTACTCCTCAGTGAAATTTTGTCTTCATTGGCACAGTCTTCCCAGTCCTTCCTGCCCCTCATTTGTGTACATCTTATTTTTGTTTGTAAGGTAGGTTATTATTACCAAATTGCCTGGGGGAAATAAGTCTATATATGTTTTGCCTTGGGCAGGTATATGTGTTTATATCTACCATTTGAGTCATTTTTTTTCTAGGGTAAAGCATGAGCCACACCACAAGAATCAGACCTGCAGGCATGGGATGGGTCATCAATGATAAGCCTACCCATACACCATGCTGAGGACCTGTACAAAAGGGTACAGGGGCCATGGTGACTGTTAGGACATGTGTGAGGCATACCCTGAATTAAAGAGGGTATTTACTACTAAAGGCATAGTGATTTATCTAGTGGGGTTCTTCCTTACCTGTCTGCAGGGACTTGAATAGAAAGGCAATGTGGACTACAGCTGCTCTTTTCATGGGGGTGAAGGTGTTTGGGTACATATTTTACTGTTGAGCAAACTTACTAAACTGTAAGTTTAAAAATTATTTCATAGGGAGCAATTACTGAAGTTAGCAAAATGTAATTTAGTGTGCTCTTCCTGCAAGGACATGACTGCCCACATTAACACTGTCTCATCTCTTGATGGCCCAGTTCTATGAAGGCTATGGACAGACTGAGTGCACTGCTGGTTGCTGCCTGAGCTTGCCTGGAGACTGGACGGCAGGTATGGTTGATGGGAGAGCCATTTCCAGAGTCTTCTCATTGGAATTGCATTATTGGTATGATCAGAACTGGGTTAATCGTTGATTGGTTCATTAACTACCTTATACAAGTAATGCATGATATGGTTCAAGTAGCTAGACCTTGGGGCAAATAGTCATGTGAACTGAGTAGAAAATCTTCCCTGTGGCCCAATGTGATGGAGGTTGTAATACGTCCTAGTAGCTGCATTGGGACAAGATGCCTTTGCAACAGAGTCAGGCTATCTAACCCGACAGTGTACCAGTGACTGAGCAGGGTCTCATCATTTGCTGGTGATTTTAAGCCATAAATTCATACTATGTGCTGTGCTAATTATTGGAATTGCCAGTAGAAATGAACACACGCCCTTTGTTTCAAAGAAAAAGGGGAAAACAAATACCAAAAGTTGTTGAGCCCCTACAATGGCTAAGGCTCTACAGTGAATGTTTATGGTGGACACTGTGTGTCACCCTAGTAACATCCCTGTGAGGTAAGTTACTAATATTAAACATGCAGCATGTAGACAGTGGAGAACTTGCCCAGCATTGTGCTGTGGACTTGGGCTTCTAACATGAAGAAGCCTGCAAAGCTTTAGGCTTCCCTCCATAGCCCATTTGTAGTATATTCTACATGGCAATAAATAAGCTTCCCTGGCTTGTTTGGTACATTATAAATCTTAGCCCCATTTAGTAATGTAGACCCACCCCAGCATCTAGCACTATCTCATAATGTAATTCTGTGGGAATCAATGCTGGCACTCAATGAATCTTCTTCGTACTGTTTGTTTAATTGTTACTATCAGGTTCCTTAACAGCCAAAGAATCTGGAATATGTTATATATTAAGATTATTAAAACATAGGGCGTATAACCTGTGACACTTAAAATGTGTCTAATATTTGTTGCCAAAGAATCTGAAATATATTACATGTTATTAAACATATTAAAACAGGATGTATTACCTGTGACACTTAAAATGTGTCTTATATTTGTTATTTTTGTTTTTGGAAAAGACATCCTGTCCCTTTGTTAAGAGAGTTAGATTGACTGTGGAAATCTAACTTAATAGATTTGTGTAAAAACATGTTCATTCAAAAATAATGGCTATATTGATCAGAACCAGGGGATGCATCAGAGAATAATCAGCAGAGCTGCCTGTCCTTTCTCAGAGAGAATGGGGACATTAAGAAGTTTGAAACTAGTATTGTCAGCATAAGAGAGGTAGAGGCAGGAAGATAATAAATTGAAGGTCATCCTCAGCTGTATAATGAGTTTGAGGCCAGCTTGGGGTACATGAGTCTGCCTTTAAAAAAAAAAAAAAGTTTAGGTGTGTGTGGGTGGAGTCAGTCAGAGCAGATCATAGAATTCAGGTAACAGTTTTATTTAGAAAGCATGCCTTCAAGTGTCTGTACAAACTCTTAAATTCAGTGACTTACATATTTAAACATTGAAAGCTTATTCAGAACCTCAAGCTTGAGAAAGGTCCTAAATAGACGTTTGAATATTTTTACCTCTCTTCTAGAAAGAAACCCTCTTGAATTATTCTACCAGGGACATAAAGGCTATAATTGCAGACATTTGTTTATGGCAGCTATTACTATGAAGAAGTTGTTGGTTATAAATATACTTTGGCCCAAGGACATTATAGTATGCTTAGAAGTGATGATCTTCGGGGCTGGAGAGATGGCTCAGTGGTTAAGAGCACTGACTGCTCTTGTAGAGGACCCAGGTTCAAGTCCCAGCACCCACATGGTGGCTATGAACCGTCCTTAACTCCAGTTCCAGGGAAATCGGAGGCCCCATTCTGACTTCCCCGGCATTGCATGACATGGGTGCACTCACACACATGCAGGCAATGCACTCATACACATAAAAATAAAAATAATAAATAAATATATTTTTTAAATGATTGTTTTCTTACTCTAGAGAGAGGGGCAGGCAGATCTCTGTGAGTTCAAGGCCAGCCTGGTCTACATAGCGAGTTCCAGGCCAGCTGGGGCTTCAGAGAGACCCTGTCTCAAAAAGACAAAAACAAAACAAAAAAACAGAAAGAAATAATCTTTTTCTTACTTAATATGCAGGCCATGTTGGTGCCCCCATGCCTTGCAATTATATAAAACTTGTTGATGTGGAAGAAATGAATTACATGGCTGCCAAGGGCGAGGGCGAGGTGAGTGAAACCCTGTCAGTCTCTGACCAACACTGCATCTCCTATACTACTGCCCATTGTGAGAGTGGTGGCAGTTCCAGACACCACTTAATACAGCTTTTGAGCTTGATTCTATTGGAGATCTTAGGGTCAAGTAGGCTTTGATTGAAAGGTACAGTTAGAGATTTGAGCCCAAGAACACAATGCAAAAGCTCCAGTGGGACACATCCCTAGTCTGCTAATGGCCCCAGGTACCTATTAGCAAACTGCTTGTACTGGATGAAAAGCCTAATTACACAAGAGATTTTATCCCCTCTGGAGGTTTGCTGCAGCTTTAAGTGGAGCCTAGGGTAGGCATTATTAGCCTTATAGTGTGACTGTTGCTGAGGTCAATAGGAAAGGAAGTGGGGACATTGGCGATGCCTCCAAGATCCTGAAGGGATGCTGGTAATTCTCTCTGGAGCTAGAACTGAAGGGCTGCTAGAAGGTTGTGTGACACACAGACATACACATGTACACACACACACCTTCCCCCAGTTTTCTTGGGAGAATCCCCAGTAAATGCTGTTTGTTAACATACCATCTTTTCTTAGGTGTGTGTTAAAGGGCCAAATGTGTTTAAAGGCTACTTGAAAGACCCAGCAAAAACAGCAGAAGCACTGGATAAAGATGGCTGGTTACACACAGGGGACATTGGAAAATGGCTGCCAGTAAGTTGTCACCTCTCTTGTTCATAAACAATTTTGTCTCACTGAAGGAAGGAGACTCCTGCTACACAGCCTGTGGCTTTTGACCCCACCCTTCTTGTTTAGTGGTATAATGTAGGTCTTCTATTTCCTGCAGGAGACAGGCTATACTCAGCATGCCTGATTAGAAAGCTTCTCAACTTTAACTGTAGGAAAATGTTTTGTTATGCTGCCTAAAATAAGTTTGATTGCTACTTCCTATCTGATATCCAAAGACTGTGGCTTTTTATAAAGCAAAGTTGTATCTTGATTTAGGTGCTAGCTAGCATTCCCACAGTTCATAAGTGTTGGGGCTGACCCTTCCCAAAGTCCCTGCACACTTCCTTTCCCCAAAGCAGTGATAACGGAAATAGAAATTCTGCCTTTATGTAATAAGCATTTCTGGAGCACTTTTCTGCAGAGTGCTGTGGAAGGTTAGTTAAGTCTGTATCCTTGCTGACAAGGACCCTCATTTGGCAAGCAGGATATGTGTGTCCCTAATTCAGACAGGAGACTGAATGTAGCAGGATGACAAGTCTGATGCTAAATGGGGAAGCCGAGAGAGCATGGGCTCTGGGAATCTTTGTGCACAGCTAAATGGCCTTAGGCAGTTTCAAATACCTTGTGCTGTTATGACTGATGCTGCATGGAAATCAACCAGAGACCATAGCCGATTCCTCTCTGATACACAGAATGGCACCTTGAAGATTATTGACAGGAAAAAGCACATATTTAAACTAGCCCAAGGAGAATACATAGCACCAGAAAAGATTGAAAATGTCTATCTGCGAAGTGAAGCTGTGGCTCAGGTGTTTGTCCATGGAGAAAGCTTGCAGGTATGTGCTTCCTAGTGGGAACTATGCTGTTCCCACTGTGAGTGCCTTGAACCGCAGTGACTTTAAAGGTGACTGACAACCATGTGTGGTGTGGTGACACACACCGGTAATCCTAGCATTTGGGAAGTTGATGATGAGGATCATGAATTAAAGGCCAGCCTGGGTTGCCTGGAGACACCCTGCCTTAAATTAAAACAAGACATGTATGGTGGCACATGGCTTTAATCCGAGCACTTCGGGGGCAGAGGCAGATGGATCTCTGTGAGATCAAGGCCCAGCCTGGTCTATATATCGAGTTCCAGGCCAGCTGGGGCCTGGAAGAAAGACCCTGCCTCAAAAAACAATATATATATATATATACAATAATAAGGTGATTGACAGTTTGAGGTGAGTGTGAATGTACACTGACCCTCATGTCTGACAGGCTAGAATATCATTGATTCACTATTGGGTTTTGCTGTGTTGGCATTTACTACCCCCCAAAGTTGGTTTTTCTTTAGATTCTAGATTTTAATTTTAACTAGAGAAGTCTGGTGTACCAACAGTAATTGTACAAAGATACTTGGGGTTTGATAATATGTTTCTAATTTAATTATGAAGGAAATAGTAGCACTTAAGGAATATAAGGAAATTTTACATTTTAAACATATTGAGCCTAGCTTATTTATGATATTCATTCTAAATCATTCTAAAGAAAATTGTGTTGCAAGACAAGCATATTAAATGTTAAAAACCAAAATTAGTATTGTAATGAAACATAAAATTGCTAAAAGGTTGGACAGGTGATTGAGAGAGAGAGAGAGAGAGAACAAACCAGGTATTCTGGTGCACATTTCTAATCCCAGCACTTGAGAGGTTGAGGAAAAAGGATTGGGAGTTCAAGGCCAGCCTCAGCCACACAGCAAATTCAAGGCCAACCTGGACTATATGAATCTCTATCATTAAAAAAGCCAAAAATGAAAAAGTAAAGAAAGTATGCACAGAAGTAAATAAAAATTAGAATTGTGTTAAATTTTGACTTCCAAGGATTCTTTTAAAACATCAGATGCAAAGTTCCTGATGGCATCTGTATCAGAGCTGGGAGCTCTTCACCTGGGCTTAGATAGCTTCTGGGAAAGGGTGTGGCAACAGTACATTCTCCAGAGACAACCCTTAGCTGCTGCCAGATACTCCCAGGTCTGTGATGCAGAAAAATAACCAATATGTGGGAGCATGTGGGTGCAGACCTGTAGTAACCCACTTGTTTGTGTTGAAGGCATTTCTCATAGCAATTGTAGTACCAGATGCGGAGAACATAATTCCCTGGGCTGAGAAGAGGGGATTTCAAGGATCCTTTGAGGAGCTGTGCAGAAACAAGGTGAGGCTCAGAAGTGCCCCGGCTGTCTTCTGTTGCTCGTCTTTGCCCTCGGCATACCTGTAGGTATTCTAGAATCCACACAGAGAAACTGATTTTTCTTACGTTATTAGGATGTCCAGAAAGCTATCCTGGAAGACATGGTGAGACTTGGGAAGGATGCTGGTCTGAAGCCATTTGAACAGGTATGACTTTGATCCAAGTACAAACCCTGTAGAACAAAGTCTGACTGGAAGACCTTTTACAAGATTATAGAAGATGAAGAGTGACCTAAAGAATAAAGGGACACTAGGAATAGTTTGATAGGGAAGGGTTTTTTTTTGTTGTTGTTCTTTAAAGATTTATTTTTATTTTTAATTGTGTGTGTGTGTGTGTGTGTGTGTGTGTGTGTGTGTGTGTGTTCGTACATTAGTGTACAGATGCCCAAGGAGGGCATAGGTGTCTGATCCTCTGGAGCTGGAGTTACAGACAATTGTGAACTGCCTAACCTGGATGCTGGGAATTGAACCTGGGTCCTCTGTAAGAACAGAAAGTTCTCTTAACTACTGAGCCATCTCTCTAGCCCCAGGGAAGGGTTTTTACCCAAGGTATGACTCTTATTTTCCTTGAAGCCAGCATACAATCCTAAATTCTCTGCTGATTGAATGGAACCTGAGTTCTCTGCTGAGAAAGCAGTGTGGCTGAAATGAGAGGATGAATTTAATGCCTTGAGGGTCTTCATCTCCTTTGAGCACAGCTATCCTGTATATTCAGACTTTTTAGGTTACTTTTGTGTGTCTGTCCTCTTTTCCCCTTTAACAGCCTTGCTTCTTTGCAGGTCAAAGGCATTGCTATACACAATGAATTATTTTCTGTTGATAATGGCCTTCTGACTCCAACAATGAAGGCAAAAAGGCCAGAGCTACGGAACTATTTTAGGTCACAGATAGATGAACTTTATTCCACCATCAAGATTTAATGAGGAAGAAAACTCAGAAGAAATGGCGCACCTCCATAATCCCTCCTTGACCAATGGCCTTCCCATTGGTAACTTTGCCTGCAGCAAGCATAGAGAAGGAAACAGCCATGTTTGACTTGTCCACTGGGGTCTTACCATAGGAACATTAGAGGAAACAGACACTGCCTTACAGTCACCTCGTGTTGCAGGCCATGGACATGGTGATGCACAATTTCCAAAATGAGCCTTAAAAATTGTAAAGGGGAAACTATACAAGTGCTAAGTTATTTAAGACTTCCTCAGTCAATAAGATGGGTGTTAAAACTCCTGTCTCCGTGTTTTTCTAAACAAGGGGTTAGGACCTTGCTCTTTCTGATGTGTATCTGCTACTTGCTGCATGTTCTGGAGCTGTCTGCTGCTCTGAAGAGTACAGTGCACTGGAGGGAAGCTGTCCCTTTAAGAACCAGAACAGCTGTCCAGGCTGGAGAAAGTCACAAGTGGACCAGAGATTTTTATTTTTAAACCCCTGCTACCTCCCCTTCCCCACCTCAACATACAGTATACTCATACAACCCTTCTGATATGTAAGGGTTCCGAATGGTCTCTATTGTTCTTGCTGGGACATAAGGTTTCCAATAAACCAAAGGAAAGATCCTCCTTAGCCCAATGCTGGTGCCCTGTCTCAGAAAAAAATGGCGGCTCACCAGTCAGCACCTTCTTGCTTACACAGCAGGATGCTCTCGGACTCTCTTCCAGATCTGGTTCCCTCTCTTACCCTTCCCAGGGGTTATAGAAGATCCTGCCTTAGATTCTGCAGTGAAGACAGCATTTCAAGAAGAAATGACCCAGGTCAGCCATGCACAACTGTGATGCCTCAGCCACTGTCCACCTGCTGTCCACTGAACCAGCAGCTCCCCGTCTGTAACAGCCAATGGGCTCCGAATGTGTGGTTTCCCTATTAAATGATGTGGTGATTAACTTGCTTTTTAAACTCAGGCAAAGCATGTCTTCAAAAATATTAAGGGAGTTGATATACATGGGTACTTGTTGAAATGGGCAGTAATAAGTAAATGTTCTTTTATCATAAAACTACCTAATTTCTATGAAATGCATTTGACAAGCCAGGATGTAGAAATCTGGGGGGAAAATATCCTGGGATTAATTTCTCAAGGGATTTTTTTAAGTTAATTTGGGAAATTAGAAGCATTTCACTTTATTGAAAGTCTTTGCCACATTTGACTGAATTACGCTGTCGTTTATACATTCAAAGCCACTGTTGTAGGATACATGACAGTACGTGGATTGAAGTACAACAGGGTCTGCACTAAAGAACTGTTGTTGTAATAACACTATTTGGTAGCCTACCTTCATATTGTATTCTTAATTGCACAGGAAGTTAATAATTTGTCACAGCGGGGTTTTGAATGTTTGTTTTCAGTGCTGGCTATTTCTATGTTTTATAAACCAAAACAGAATTTCCAAAAACAATGAAGGAAACCAAAATAAATATTTCTGCATTTCGAGTGAGCATCCCTTTCAATGTTCGGTTTAACATTTAGGACAGCCCATAGTGCACACCTTGAACAAATGGCCCTCAGCCTGCAAACCCTCCTGTTGTTTCCTCTCCTTCCCTGGTCTCCTTTCTCTAGCCTAGTCATTCTGTGACACTTGAGACACTGACCCCGCCTTCCACCAGTTTTCTCTGGCACCTTCCTCACATGCGGTGAAGAAGAAAATCGTGGCATGGACGGTAGGGGCATTTCTGAAAATGGAGCTGCTTTGCTGGACAGTGCCATCAGGAGACCCTGGCTGTGATCACTGGTCTGCAGTGGTGAATTTTCTTCTTCTGTATTTTCGTAATTCTCTTCTGTAAAACTGTTTTAGAAGGCATCTCGTTTACAGCAGCCAGTTTTCTTTTCTTTCCCCTGCCCTGCTCCCTGCATTGCCATTTTAAAGAGTTTCCTTTCCATAGATATTAACTATTAATTTCCTTCAAGCCTGTTGTGTTTAATTCTGCCATTACCACCACTCCAATCCCTTCAAGTTTTTGTGTTTGTCTCTTTTGGGGGGGGGGTGGTTTTGCTCTTTTGGAAGTCTGTGTGTGTGTGTGCGCATGCGTGAAAGTGCCTCTACCTCCAGCACTTTCTTCACTTTTTTTAAATTTAAAAATAGTTATTTTATTTTATTTACTTTTTATTTTTTGTCTTTTTGAGACAGGGTCTCCCTGTAGCCCCAGCTGACCTGTAACTCACTTTGTAGATCAGGCTGGCCTCAAACTCAACAGAGATCTTCCTGCCTCTGTCTCCCAAGTGCTAGGATTAAAGACATGTGCCACCATGCCCGGCAGCATAGCTTTCTTTAGAAAATAACATGATTACATTGACTTTGTACAGGTTGGAGAATTTGGAAAGGAGTGAATGGCAAATGCACATTACAGGAACAATGGCAAATTTAACATTATTGTTAAAGCTCCTTAGTATCTCTTTACTTTTTATTTTGAGTCAAGTTCTCACTAAATCACCCCAGACTGGCTTTGAACTCACTCTGAGGCCCAGTCTGGCCTGAATTCCTCCTGCTTTAGCGTCCTGAGTAGCCGTGATTATAGGCCTATGCCACCACGCCCAGCCTATGCCTTCAGGTTTATGGTTATTGTTTTATGTTTATTTTCTTCCTCTCAGGCTCAAGCTTATGCATCTCTCTGACACAGCTTGCCTTACTTCATTTTCTGTTGCTCTAATATCAGAGACTGGGCAATTTGTAAAAAATGTCATTTGCCTCCTAGTTCTAGAGGCTGGGAAGCCTGAGAACATGTCAGCTACCATCTTAACATATTTAAGTGTATAGTTCAGTGGGGTTAAAACATTTACATTCATGTACCCAGGACCTGATAAGGGCCATCTTACTGGTGGGTACTCTCTGGAGAGTTCCCAAGGTAGTACATTATCAAATGGCAAAAGAGGCCTAGGAGAGATGGCCAAGCTTGCTTTCCTAACAGACCTACCTGTAATAACTAACCGACTCCCTTGATAACCCACTAATTATGAATGGGTTGACCCATTCATGACAACAAAGCCCCTTGACCCAATCACCTCTCCAAATACAATTAACATAGAATGTTGGGGGTTGAATTTCTAATATATTCATGGCTCCTAGTACAGTCTTTCTTATAAAAATCCTGCCTTGCCTTCATCTGATCTGCCTTTTGTCCTCTGACTAGAATGTGAGTTTCTTGAGAGCAGGCATTACCTTTCTTTCCCTCCTTTAGCAAACCCAAGTTTGTAGACTAGTAGATGTTCACTAAATAAGTCTTGAAATTTTGAGCAAAGCTGTTGCACCCAGGCTAGTAAACATGGTTGTCTGATTCCTGATGCTGAGACAGACGTACAGTTATTGTCTAACCACTTCTGAGTGTACGTTGAGCAGAGTTGAGTTTGATTTGTGATGGTGAGACAGACATACAGGCATCACCTTAACCGCTTCTGAGTGTATGCTGAGCAGTGTGGAATCCATTCACATTTGTGTAAGGTCATCACTGTCTTCCATCCACAGAACTTTTCATCTTGCAGAGTAGAAACTTGGCATCTGTTGAACAATAACTCCCCTACCTCCCCTCCCGTCAGCCCCTAGTGACCACCCTTCTACTTTCTATGACTCTGACTGAGTACCACTCATGAGTGGAATCAGATCACATTTGCCCTTTCATGACTGGTTTGTTCCACTTGCATAATGTTACAAAGGTTAATCTATATTGTAGCACATGTCACAGTGTCTTCCCTTTTGAAGGTTGAATGGTATTCCATTGTTTACTTGCCACACTGCCCATAGGACCACTGGCAGTCACTTGAGATGCTCCTACCTTTCATCTGTTGTGAACAATGCTTCTGGTGTACAGATAGATGCCTATTGAGTCCTTGTTTTCAATCTTTTGTGCATATACCTAGAAGTGGAATTGCTGGACCATATGGGAGTTATGTGTGTATATTTTTTCTGAACTGCGTCATGTTTTCCATCGTCTGCACCATTTTACATTTCCACTAGCAATGTATAAGGGCTCTTAACACTTGCTTCTGGCTTTTGTTTCTAATTATAATAGCCATCTGAGTGAGTAGTTTGGGTTTGCATTTCCTTGATCACAGATTCTGAGTATCTTTGCTCCAAAGTCATTTATATATTCTCTCTGGAGAAATGCCTATTCAAATCCTTTTCCCATTTAAAAACCTGGGTCCTTTGGGTTTTGTGGGAGTTCTTTATGTATTCAGGCTATTAATCCCTAAGCACTTTTATTTATCCCTAAAAATTTTTAATTTTTACCTTTTAAAAATATTTTTTATGCCAGGCGTGGTGGCGCACGACTTTAGTCCCAGCACTTGGGAGGCAGAGGCAGGTAGATCTTTATGATCTGGCCTGTGTTCAAGGCCTGGTCTACAAAGTGAGTTCTAGGCCAGCCAGGGCTACAGGGAGACCCTGTCTCACAAAGACCAAAAAAAAAAAATTTATTGATTTGAGAATTTCGTACAATGTATTTTGATTATATTCAAACAATTTTTTTTTGGTCTTTTTGAGACAGGCTCTCCCTATAGCTCCAGCTGGCCTAGAAGTCGCTATGTAGACAGGCTGGCCTCAAACTTACAGAGATCCATGGTGTGTGCCACCATGCCTGGCTAACATTTTGTTTTTAAGTATAGCTTGTATTTAGTAAACACTTTTACCTTCTACCCTAGCTTAGAAAAACAACAGCTAATGTGTGTGTGTGGTGCTGTAGCAACAAGCCAGATTAACTATTTTATATTTATCTTTTTAAATGGTTTTTGCTTTTATCCTAGCTACTGATGCAATTGAAGTAAACATAATTTGAACAATGTCCCACACTAGACAGAGCTAGCAGTCTGGCCCCAGAGACTGAAGCTTGTAGTAAAGATTTCTGTTTGGCAATCAACTGCTGCTCAGTGCCAGCTGTTCCGCCTCAGGGCTTTAGTGCCCCTGGTCCTGGGACCTAGATAGTGGCTTTTCTTTGTCATATAAGCTAATGCTACTTAACAGTTTCAGTGTCTTTATGACATCGAACGTTGAATATGATCCTGGCAGTCCCAGATTCATTCGGAGCCAACAGCTTGATGGAAGCAGCCACTATGTGTGAGGAAGAAAATTTGCTTAAAACTGGTTCACAGAGATGCCATGGTTCATGACATTCCTCAGAACCCTAGGAGTCCATAAGGTTGACAGTCATATACATGTTAGGGATCTGCTGTGTGCAGTACCTATGCTGTGCTCTTCACATTCTTACTCAATTCTCCCAAAGCCCTATTAGAGTCATCACTCCTAACTGCATAGTTACCGTCCGCCAAATGCCAACCTCTTCTGTAGGGATGCAGCCCCGCAGACAAGATCCTTGCCATGGAGAACCTCAAAGATAGAGACAGACAATAGACAAGAAAGCAAAGGATTGTGATAGAGGATTTCAAGAAAACAATTGTATTGATACTGCCGTTTTAAAATGTCATTCTCAGAAGAGGTTTGTGTGTATGGGTGACATTGGAGGTGAGAACCTCAAAGGACAGGAAACAGCTTTGCAGAGGTTTGGGGAAAGTTTTCAAATAGAAGAAACTGAATGCAAAAGCCCAGAGTGAGAGAGAGAGCTAGAGAGAGCGAGTAAGAGTGTTTGATATGTCAAGGAACTAGAAGGAAGCCAGTGTGTCTTAAGCAAGAGAAAGAAATGAAGTTAAAGATTCCAGATGACCTTGCTGTGGGTTCGGGGAACCACTAAAGGGTTTTGCCTGAATTCCCCTTCTGGTAGACACGTGGCTGCTCTAGAAACTGCTGCAGAGAGAAAAAACAGAAGACTGAGGACTAGGTAAAGACCACAGAGTGTAAGATGGCAGCTTGAACTAGGGTGGTGTCCATGGCAAGAGGAGAACATGTGGGGGTCAGAAGGGACAGTTTGGGGTGTGTGCAGAGTGGGTGTGTTAGTCACTTTTCTGTTGCTGTGATAGAAACACTGACCCAAGCAATTTATAGAAGGAAGAGTTTATTTGAGCTTATGGTTCCAGGGGAATTACAGTCCATCATGGCAGGGAGGCATGGTGGCTGGACCAGGAGCTGCAGAAGCTAAGCTCTCACATCTTCATGCAGGCACAGGAAGCAAGAGAGCGACTGGAGACCCAGCAAGGCTTAAGAACTCTCTTAAGCCCACCCCCAGTGATGTGCTTCCTCCAGGATAGCCACACCTTCTAAAACCTCCCAAAGCAGCGCCATGATCTGGGGACAAAATGTCCAAACACTTGGAGCCTATGGGGGACATTTTCATTCAAACCACCACAGTGGGGTAGACTGCTTACTGAGATGCAGAGGACTCAAAGTTGCATACATTTAGAGGGCGATCAGATTTGAATTTTCTCATTTGAAGTTCCTGTCAGACTAGCAAATGAAGACTGGCCTGCAGTCCAGAAGCCTGGTGAGGCTGGAGATCACAGGGCAGGGCGCTGAAGCTGTGAGTGACCTCGGGATCTGGGGAAGATGGGTAGAT